GTCGTTTCCAAAGTGACCTAGAAATAGTGGTTCCTCGTCACAAAATGTAATTCGATTTGGAAAATCTCTTAAATTGGCAACGGTACCAATTTGCGGGTTGTTCCATGGCCATTGGGGCGGAGGGGGGGTGCTAACGGTGGGTAGGGGGGTTGTTGATTAGCCTACGTGTCGTGTCACCCCGGAAGGAGAAGGGGTGAGGTGATTAGCAAATTGGATTATAATTGCGGCCGCCGGGCTGCATGGCTCCGAAATATCATTACACCCATTTCGCTGGTCCTGCACGGTTCCTATCTCTGCTGTGGTAGACAACTAAACAATTGGCAGTATCCAGTGGGGTTATTTGAAGACGGGGGTAATTTTTATAGGAAAACAGCCCACTGCTGTCGAATTTTTACTGACTTCAGATTATTAAAGTTATGATCAGGGTCACTACAAAATTTAGAAATTGACATACCTCTGATTTCCCTCACACGTTTGTGTAGAATTTCCTGACATTTGAAGGTATGCCATAAGGCCAAAAAGACATAAAATAAAATAGCTTCCAGACAAAATTGTTTGTAATAAACGCTAGATTATTTCTAGAAGCCCAATAAAGATGAATTAAAAATTTGTCCCTAACAACTTTGTCATTTTTCCTGACTTTTTAAATTCCCTGTCAATTCCCAGTTTTTTCCGGTTTTCCTGGTATTTCCTGATAGCGGCAACCCTGTCAGTGGTATAGCGTGAATTGGCATATATCGATTGTTATGCCGTTTAAACCGATGGAAAAGGATCGACACACAGGGTGTTGGCAGCGAACACCTTAATAATCGATTCTTCACCATAGGTGCAAATGGCAAATCAATCAGTTTATCGCAAAGCACGCCACGCCACTGAACCCTGGACGGCCGCAAGCTGCTAGCACGAAATGCCCACTGACACCTACAAACCTAAATGGATACTTCACGCATTGTGCAATGCTTGAAGTATCCACTTAGGTTTGTAGGCGCCAATGCGCGCTTTGCGCTGGCCGGCCGCCCACCGCCCGCTGCGTGCCGCAGCGCCTTAAGCAACAGAGGTGTTACACAGTATCTTAAAAAATTGAAGGCGCTCCAACATATTAAGAATGCCCGGCATCCTTCTAAAGTACGGAGCTTTCCTCGCAAAATAAATCAAGATACAACGGCACAAAAAGAGAGCGGTAGTTCAATAACTCACTAAGTCCTAGCATCTGTATTCACTAACGAGTAGCAAATTTTTTTGTCATGGGAACGGAGTTCCCCATGATATTAGAATCGTTCCGTTGCTTCCGCTATGGGATTCCCTATACCTCTGCGACCTTGAGCGTTTCGCCCAGTCTCCGATTTTTGGTTGATTTTCCGATGTATCAAAAACCGTTGTATTTTTTAGCCAATCATGTCTCTACGTCAAGTTGTGTTGATTGCTAAAATTCGCTTTCAGCGAGTTTTTTTCCACCTTAAGATGTCGTGTCTGACTAGTAAATCTGCGCAGAACCACGAAGTTCCGTTTTTAGGCAAATTCTTTTTTTTGGGAGGTTCTGATTGGTTATTTTTCGCCATCAGTTTTCTGTTCGTTGGTGCAAAAGATCGCCTACCTCGTTGCTCTTGAGAAGCCGCCATTATCCCACCTCAAATTTTAAACATAGATATAAAGAAATAATAACCATCGTACAAGGTGGAAAATTGTTCTGGAGGACTCGTTACGGATAAAGAAGTCAAAATCAGAACTCGATTGATGGATTTCATCCATGAATACAGAAATATTGCCCCAGTTTACTGCCGCGATCGCAAATGCATTCTGACATGAACCTTGTGACACATGACAGCATAGGTAGACAATGTCTCACAGAGTAATGGGCTTGATCCGTTTTCTCTTACCACGCCAGTGGCCGAACCGTTGAAATCTCAAGGACGTCTTTTGTGAAGCCCCGCTCAGCGTCCGAGATCACTTAACTGTTCTCTTTTTCTCCTCCCGTATCCGAGCGGCGAGATAGCTCAGATGACTACAACACTGTTCTGACCCTGGGAGAGTGTCACTTTTTGTGGGAGCGGGGGTTCGAATCTCGTAGGGGACAGCTAATTTTTACTGGTTGTATTGAATGTTTTAGACCAATAATCTAACAATAATTAATACTTGGCAACTTAGGAAGCACATAGGTCCCTTATGATGCGTATTCGGGCATATGTGTAGAGTAAAAATATCATACGTAGGGTGTCCCAAAAGTACCGGTACTGATTCTGTAACTTCAAAAGTAAGATAGATACAGACATGATTTTGGTCTCATGTTAAAGATTAACTCAATACCTATCGATTAAAACCAAGATCAGCTCAATCGAATAAAAATTGACCGAGTTATGACAATTTGAAATTAGTGAGGAAAGTTTACCCCTACGGTTTTTAGGAAGATTTTTCGCTTACCAGGATTCAAAAAGTTAATATTCGTATCCACTTTCCTCCGAATCTTCCATAACTTCCTTTTGCTTTTCAAAGTACCGTCCATCAAACCGGATGCACTTTTTCATGCGCTCTTGCCACTTATCCAACATTGTTTTCCTGAATTCTTCCTCTGGGATGGAGTTGAAGAAGTTTTGAATTGCATTCTGGATTTCGGTCTTCGATACGAATCTTCGTCCGCGAAGCTCCTTTTTAAGCGTAGGAAACATCCAAAAATCACATGGAGCCAAGTCAGGGCTATAAGGGGGATGAGGGATTGTTTCAACTCCATTTTTACTCATAAATTCACGTGTTAAGCTCGATGTGTGAGGCCGCGCATTGTCTTGATGGAGTATCCACGAAGCTTTCAAGTCCGACCGTTTCCGGGAAATGTGCATTCTCAACTCCTTTAGTACTTTGCAATAATACGCACTGTCAACTGTTGTGTTTGATGGTACAAAATGTTGATAAATGACACCTCGAAAATAAAAAAACACAATAAGCATCACTTTATCGGCCGACTTTTCGATTTACGGCGATGAAGAATCTTCCTTAAAAACCGTAGGCGTAAACTTTCCTCGCTGATTTCAAATTGCCATAACTCGGTCAATTTTTATCCGATTGAGCTGATCTTGGTTTTAATCGATAGGTATTGAGTTGATCTTTAAAATGAAATCAAGATCATGTCTGTATCTATCTTACTTTCGAAGTTACAGAACAAGTCCCGGTGCTTTTGGGACACCTTATGTACACTTTACGCCGAAAAAGCGAACCTGAAACTTAAATGCGTTAACTTCCGAAAACCATATATAATCCAACGAAAATAAATAATTGGTACATAACAGCTTTCTTGTATGCAAAGAAAATAATTAAAAATGTTAAAAAAGAGATGTCAACACAAAATTACATAGCCCCTTCAATTCAGAAGATACTACAAACGAACTGTACCTTAACATTTTCATATCCCAGAAGCTAACGTTCCCATGACGAATATTGCTATCGCTAGCGATTGCAAAATCCAACTTGTTTAATTTTACTACCGAAAAAAGTGACTCAATTTAGGCAGAAACATTCTTGAGTAAGCCATCGAGAAGATTTTAGTTTGAATCAAAATAGCGGAAAATAGCGGAATGAAAGTGGGTGGGTTTCTGCTTGCTGCAATTGATTATTCTTCTTATATGAGCGAGCATCTTCTCTTCTTTTAACAAGCATTATTTTCTTTATCGAATCATAAGAAACTCTCTAGGGTAAATTTGAGCATATTCTGCTTGATACAAGTCACTTTTTCCTCTAATAAAGTTAAAAAATCATGCCAAACGTTATTGAATACAGATATCTGGACTTGGTAAGTTTTTCGACTACCGCTCTTTTTTTGTAGTTGTCACTCTATTTCTCTTGCGAGGAAACTTCATGCTTTCGAAAGACGCCATCGATCATGACACGTTGGGGTGCCTTCAATCTGGCATGATACTGTGCAACACCTCCGTGATGAAATATGAGCTGGAAGCGCCACGGCCCGCCGGCGCTGTTGCAAAGTTAATGTACAAAGGATACATCTCAGAGCCTTTAACTGAGGCAAATCAAAAGGTTTATCCGGTTCAGGTATAACACGATGGGATTTTTTTGAAAAATAATTAAGTCCTGTTGCACCAAAGAGGGGTAGAGGGTTCTGGTGAATTTATCGTCGAGGAATTGACACTTCCCTATTTTTACCATAAATCTCACCTACATATTTTTCATCGTTGGACCAAAGAAACAAACAAAGAAGAAAAAAACAAGCAAGCCCTCATTCTTCCAAGGCATTATGCATTTTCATCCAAAAACGTCGTGAGCAATGGACCACTTGACAAGGTACGAATTTCAGCATTCTGATTCATGTTTCTTCACGAAAATTTCACGTAAAACACGATGCGCACAACGAAAATTACCCAAATCAACTCCTGACGAAGATATTCAATGATTCTTGGTGCGTGAATTGAAACCACCCGCTCATGAAAACTCAATGCTCTAAGTGATTCACATCGCGCGCTAAACGTTACCATGAACGTCTCTGCGATAAATAAATCTGGCAACCTCAATCTCGACGCTTTCGCTCAAATATAGCAAATTACCTATAGTTTAAAAAACACATGGTGGGAAATGAACATTGCTCGATTGAGAAGCTTGTTGAAATCGTTGTAATGCGCGATTTGACTCACGTAGAGCTTTGAGTTTCTTGTGGGCGGGCGGTTCAAATTCCTCGTAACCAATGTGAAATAAAAATTTTAATATCTCGGTTAGGAGTTGGTTTCAGTAATTTTCGTTGCGCAAATTGTGTTCTACGTGAAATTCTGGTCAAGAAACATGAATTAGAATGCTTAAATTCGTACCTTGTCCAGCGGTCCATTGTCGTTTGTACGTATTGGTTTGTAAAACCAATTAACTTTGGGTCTGACTTGGTAGTTGGACCAGCCCTGCCGGAAAAACGCGTGGACGTAAACTACTTGGAAAAAAAAAGGTGCGGGAACAAAAAATCATTGACAAAATGTTGTATAACCCATTTGATAGATGTACGGCTGACTACTCACCAGGGTGTAGACAGCACCTGTGATGGCACTGTGCCGTGCGTGGAATTTGCAGCAGCCAAATCGTGTGCCAGAATTGAGGAGTGCGTCATAAGGATACAAAATCGTCGCCGACTTCCCACCAACACCACGTCCGCCATCTTTCTTCCTAAAACAAACCAACAATAGACTGGTTTAGCAGCTTCGTCAGTCAATTTATTACATTTAAATTGTGCCGTCCTTAAAATGCAAGGCAAAGCAACGGAGATGTTGCATGTGTGAGGAATTTGCGCTTTAACCGTTGATTCTTGTGTAAAAGTTCATCGGGAGAAAAACGATGGTACACTGGTTTTCTCTGAAATCAACTCCCAAGCTCAAAGAAAGCTCTCAAGTTGAGGCCAAAATGAAAGGTCTGTATTCAAATGATTCGAAATGGCAATTCTCTCTGTATGAGGCACTCCGGCGCTATCGCGAATAAATCGCCTTCAATTGCCGCATAGGCAATTTGACTGCTGTGTCGTTCGAATAGTTGCTCTCTCGTCGCCTGAACATTTCGATTTCAATTGAACTCATCTTGACCCATGTCAGTCGTTAGTGTGGTAAAAGTGAGTCAGTCATCTGGGGGTTAAATGCAAATTTTCTGGGAAATGTGTGAACTTTTCATTATGAATAGATATTTTGGACAGTGAAGATACAGCATACAACCACCTAAATGGAGATGCTGCATGTGTGAGGAATTTGCGATTTGACTGTTGCTTCTTATGTAAAAGTTCGCGAAAAACACGATGGTGCTACTGGTTTTCTCTGAAATCAACTCCCAAGCTCAAAAAAAGCTCTCAAGTTGAGACCAAAATGGAGGGGATATCCCACGCTATCCCGAGAGTCCACCTCTACATCAAGACAAACTCTCCATGCAAAGATAGGGAGGAAATAAATTAGCAGGGATGCCGTGTTTTCAGTTTTAGAGTCCCCACATAAAGTGGCAGCCCTGTCAATGTATTTGCTCCCTATCTTTTGCATGGAGAGTTCGTCTTGATGTAGAGGTATGGACTCTCAGGATAGCGTGGGATATTCCCTCCATTTTGGCCTAAACTTGAGAGCTTTTTTTTGAGCTTGGGTGTTGATTTCAGAGAAAACCAAAGACACATCTTGTTTCTCGCGAACTTTTACATAAGAATCAACAGTCAAATCGCAAATCCCTCACACATGCAACATCTCCATTGAATCAGTGAGTTCGAAAACACACCAACTCGGGAAAAAAATTGTTCAGGAAACACCTGAAATTTCGCAGCTGGCGAAGAAGTTAGTTTAAGAAACACCTTTTTGGTCCCAAAGAACAAGTACTTAGAGACTTAGTAAAGCACCCAGTTGAAATCGACACACCATGTTTGATGCCAGAGAATTAAACGTTTAAAAATTTCCGAGGTTGGTGTGTTTTCGTTCTCACCGACTTTCAGAGACTGATTTTTCGTAGTCAGGATAGCGTGGGATATCCCCTCCATTTTGGCCTCAACTTGAGAGCTTTGTTTGAGCTTGGGAGTTGATTTCAGAGAAAACCAGTGGCACCAACTGTAAGATTCAATTATTTACAGGCAAATTGCTCCCGAGCTTAACTGACTCATTTCCAGATATCTGAGATTAAATAGAAAACAAAATGTTTTCAAGAATTAAAAGATATATATTCACCTAATGTATTCAATAAATTCAGTTTTCCATGAAGAAAATTGGCAACGTCTGAAGGCTCATAAGGCCTTAGCACGGTAGAACGCATGCGCTACCGCGTGTGCTCGTATGTGCATCTGTACATGAGTCGGAAAAAGTAACTTCTTATCGCGAAAAGTAGCTCAGTGACATTTTTCGATTGAATTCATTGAGAGAGGAGTAAGTTGAAGCGAAAATTAACGACAGCTCGAGTAATTTCACCTAAGGCGAACGAGGCATTTTTGGCTTATTCAGATTCTTTGCACGAGAGCGGATCGAGTCTTGTGAGTTAATTCCTTTGCGAAGCCAATTAACGAAGGATGGAAACCAGTGTTGCCAAATTTCGTTCGCAGCGTCGTGATCATGGTGAAGAACTTTTTGTGTGCGTCACGTAGAATCACGTATCGATATTTCAAGAGTAGAAATTCGAAACCTGGTAACATTAGGTGCTGCTAGGATTTAGCATGGCAACCCTCGCGCCATGCCCTCAGTGCGTTTGTTCGCTTCATAGATTTTGAAACGAGAAATTATCTTAGAATGGACCACTAGACAAGGTACGAATTTCAGCATTCTGATACATGTTTCACAATATATATGATACAAAATTTCACGTGGAACACAGTACGCACAACGAAAATTTCCGAAATCAACTCCTTACGAAGATATTTAATGATTCTTGATGTGTGAATTCAAACCACCCGTTCATGAAAACTCAATGCTGTACATGATTCACATCGTGCGCTAAACGTTATCATGACAGTCTCTTGCATATAAAAATCTGGCAACCTCAATCTTGACGCTTTGGTTTAGATAGTTTGAACAACACATGGAGGGAAATGAACATTGCTCGATTGAGAGGCTTGCTGAAACCGTTGTAGTGCGCGATTTGACTCACGTAGAGCTTTGAGTTTCTTGTGAGCGGGCAGTTCAAAATCCGCGTAACCAATGTGAAATAAAAAAGGTTAAAATCTTCGTTAGGAGTTGGTTTCAGTAATTTTCGTTGCGCGAATCGTGTTCTACGTGAGATTTCGGTTAAAAAACATGTATCAGATTGCTTAAATTCATACCTTGTCTAGAGGTCCATTGCACGGGAAAAGCGGTAGGGGTTGTTGGATGATACAGGTTTTTTCAATGGACTGTGGTAGTACCCCCAATAAATTGTTTTAGCACTCCAAGAAATTAAGTTACTCTAGATGTTGCGGTGCCACCACAATCAATTGGAAATGCCCTTATCACCTGACGGAATCGGGATTGTACCATAATTTTAGGGGATAATCCCTGACACTTTTTTCAGTGTAGTTTTATTTTCACGGGGGAAAAAATGTTCCATTCTCAGGCTTTTGGATTTCAGGTTTACCAGAAACATTTTAGCACTGCCTTATGACATTTATGAGGTTTTGAATTTCCAAACTCTTCGTTTTTTCTAAAGGGTGATGCAGAAGTCCTACACCATCCCTGCAAACCCTAGGGTTCTTGTCGTCTCTCAGGAAGGTCTTCCTAATTTTTTTGAGGGGGGGGGGGGTTCCTAAAAGTTGTTTCTTTTGAAGTGAGATTACTCAAAAAATTGAAAAAATTGAATACTCAAAATTTGGGAGTCTATATCTAAATTTTTTCGTAAATTACAAAGGTGCGTAAGTTTCCAAAGTGTCAGCCTGATGCTAGTAGTTCGGGACTTAAGAGTTATCTTGTGAAATCTAATAAAGTCATCATGTGAGCTTCTAGTGTAAGTGAATGTCATTTCATTTAAAATCGTTACACTTTTTCGAAAGAATAGAAGAAGCGTGATTTCATCCAACTTTGCGAGGTTTTGCTTCAATTAAATTGTCTTGACAATAAGCGATCTATTAATAAAATAATACTAAAACACGTTCGCAGAGGCCTAGTTTTAAATTTTTGTCGAAATTTTCTTAATATTTAGGAAAGAATTCTCAACAATTTTATTATACACCTAGAAAATTGGCCCGTTAATGGATAGGGAAAAGTCCGTCAGGTAAGACAGCACAACCTGAAAATGCACCTCAGCTTCTTTAGTGCCGACCCCTTTATCATCATATCCATTCAGAATATTAGCATTTTTAAACATCGGATGGCAACACTGGCAAACTGGTTAGGGGGTTGGATTGAGCACGTGGATGGAGGTTTAAATAAAAGGGTTGAAAATCAGAGTAAAAATTACCCAGCACGACTAAGAAACCTCCTTTTCCCGGAAAAGCTGGGGAGGGGGCTTGGAGGAAAGGTGCACGGGATGAATCAAAAGTAGGGTGCCACATTATTTAAGTCGCCAACACTTGTCTTAGGGGCTACAGCCACTGGTGTTTTTACACTTTCGTGAATGGTGGTATTACCGAGGATTTTGATTCCTTCCCCTTGTCATGGCCCTGTCAAGTGAGCCTGCGTTACCTTGAATAATGAGCTTTGTACGTTTAAAAAAATTACAGATGGACGCCCCTACTGGAACACTTTTTCTTTCATTTACGTAGCGCATGTTCAAAATAAATTTTGAAGAAAGTAAGGAATATGTAAAACCCTTGTTTTCCCCTTTTGTTACATAAAACCCCGAGACAGAATACCCTAGGATGAGTATAATATTACTTCAAATCCAAACTTAAATCTTTATCTTTTTATATATTTTAAAACTAAAGATTCTAAAGATTCAACACTTAATTATTCAAGAGTATTTCAATTTATGTTACTTTAAACACTCTTCTTTTAAAGGTTTTCACTGTCACGCCGGGTATAGTTTTACTTAAAATCTAAACTTAAATCTGTGTATTTTTATATATTTTAAAACTAAAGATTCTCGATTCTATCTGGATATAATTGGTATTTTAATTTATCTTACTTTAATACTTTTCGTTTAAAGGTTTTCATTGTTACGCCGGGTATAATTTTACTTAAAATCTAAACTTAAATCTGTGTATTTTTAAATATTTTAAAACTAAAGACTCTCAATTCTATCTGGATATAATTGGTATTTTAATTTATCTTACTTTAACACTTATCTTTTAAAGATTTTCATTCTTCTGAAGGTTTAAGGGTTCATGGTGTTCGTGCGCCTTGCTACTTTGACATACATACATGGACCGTATTTAGCGGAAAGGAACCAATAGCCACATCAGCTATTACCAAATTTAATCGAACAATTCAATTTTATACATGAAAACGGCCGTGCGGATTTTTGTGCACGTATTTCTATCAAACGGAACCATGTGCATATGACGTGAGCCCTGATATGCACATATTCTTATGGGTCTCAGGGCTCATGTCTGAATGCACACAGTTCCGTTTGATAGAAATACATCCACCTACCCTCCATTATCTCCTGTCGAACCATAGCCCTTTGGACATCGAGCATTATAACATCTCTGCCTTAATGCAATTCCTCCAACCTCCAGGGTTGGAATTGGGCGTCCTCTGTGCCCTCTCTCAGGAGGAACCCAATCAAGGACCTTTTTTGGAAACCTATTTCTTGGCATTCTCTGAAGATACCTATACCAAATAAGTTGTTTTGTCATAATTCTATGCACGATGGGCTGTTCAGACCATCAGACCAGACATACCATCATGCTTGACACTTAATTTTTGCTGAAGTTCCTTAGTGAAAGTGTTTAAATGCATCATTTAGTCCACGAGTAAAATCAGATTTTTCCAAACCCTCCGACACAACCTATCAAATTAACCCTTTGTTGCATGAGCTAATCGTTGATTTTGGTAAGAAAATCTACATTGTAGAGTATTTTTTCGACAATAGAGTAAGTTGAAATCAATTTTTGTAGTAATTTTTTAAGTTAGGAGATCAGACTTATAATGCTCCCCAAAAATCATTTCTTGCTTTGATCCAATTTAATACTCCAGCATAGAAATAAAGCTGAAAACCATTTGTTGCTTTCATGCAACGCTATGCAATAAAGGGTTAAGCGAGTAATTCATCTTAAACTTATGACCCTCATCAATGATGATTTCCTAATACTTTTTTCCTACTCGTTTGTTGTCCCATCGCAGTTAGTCCTATAAGTGAGATTTCCTTCTGGTTTTTTTCCTAGGGGCATCTGTCCTAAAGTCAATTTTAAAAAAACAACATAGGTACCACATAAGTTAAAGTTGTGGCCGCATGCCTGCGAGGAGTAGAGCTTCATCCTCTCCCTTGTATTGAGGGTGTAGAAGGCTCAGATTGTGCTGCCTCCTGTTCGCGCGCTTATATTCAGCTCGCTGAGCGAATTTTACATTTTCTGAAACATTTTCACATTTGCTCTACTCATGTTTACGTTTCAATTATTATTGGATTATTGGGAAAAAAACCCTCAGGAAAAAAAGCCAGTGGGACATCTTATTCGTAGGACTTACTGTAATGGGACAAAAAACGAGTAGGAAAAAAGTATTAGGAAAACCTGATCTAGGAAAAGAAAAATTAGGAAATATGACTTCATTTACCTGAGTGACATTTGGAATCCTCAGGTCCTCATAATTCGCCGATCCAGTTTTTTCCGTGCGTCATCAGCCAGTTTGTCCTGAAAGCAAAATGGGATAAAATTCATCAGTGACAATTTCGGGCGAAGGAAATGGGGTGTAGCAGGAAAAGGAATAGTGGTCCTCTGGACAAGGTATGATAAAATCGCCATGTGTTTTCTCTTCAAAACTGCGCGGCGAAAATGATTCGCACAAGGAAAACTGTGGGAATTAACTCTTGAAAAAGACACAAGTGTTAAAAATTCACATTATTATTCATTTATATTTACAAAACGCACGTTAGACTTTCCTTCAAAACATATTTTTGTTCACCAATTCAAATGAAAATAATCCATGCAGTGTGTAAACATTTCAAAATTTTGAGTTGGAGAACGCTGACTCCGCGAGTTGAGATATTAGAGCCTAACACAGAGCGGAGCAGCGTGCTGCCAGCACGAGAGGCTTACTGGCGCCTACAAACCTAAGTGGATACTTCACGCATTGCGCAATGCGTGAAGTGTCCCTGTTAGGTTTGAAGGCGCTAAAGCGCGTTACGCGCTGGCCGACCGCCACAGCGCCTCAAGCAACTATTTCACAACAGAGGTGTCACCATCAAGAATGTTTTCATGACGGTATTTGCGCGTTAAGAGGTAGATTTCAAACGTCTATGACGTTTTTAGCGTTTATTTCACGCAGGCCAATTGAGCTATACCTTCTGCGTGCAACAGACCCACTCACCGTTCAACTTGAAATACACGGATCCGTCTTAAATCGAGAGGCCACCCCAGTGAGTGGGCAGTAAATATCAGGGCCGGAATCTCGGTTTGGCCGAGGCTGGAGTGAGGTTTGAAGGATGCTTGAGCGATTCTACGGCCTCCCCGGGATTGCCGACGGAAGAACAAAGACTTGCAAGCACTTGGCACTTGGGATCCGCGTTTCCCGTGGCCAGGGTTGCCAGACTGTGCGATACCATGTGGATATATTACATGGATTTAAATGGGGGAATGATCTGGTATTTCAGCACGGTCTGGCGACAATGCTCCCTGCTGAGACCTCAACGCCAAGTGGCGTGGTCACCGTATTGCCAGTCCGAGACGATCCAGAGCTTTCCGGTCCAATTGCGGATAAACGTCGCGTCGCCTGTGAGGATTTCAGTGTTGCAAAGTTTATACTTTTTAAGGTGTTGTTTTTTTTTTTTTTTTTTTTTTTTTTTTTTTTTTTTTTTTTTATTCATAGAAAATACAACAATTAGTATACAAATAATCAAGCTGTTCTTGAAAACTTAAATATGTGAGTTATTGGAAGTTATGGATAAATCGTATCTTATAAAAGTTAAAATAAGTTAATATCATAGAATATTTCAGTACATGAGTTTTCAAATCTTTTAGTTTGGTTAGTTAATTAATCAATGAATATAATTAATTGTATTCTTAACCTAGTTATTCTCTACGGAACCGTGGCCACTATGTCGGTTTGGGTTGGTAACTGTATCCTGCCGTTCGATATATCGTTTCTTTTTTCTAAAACTAGTCTTACATATCTATATATCATGTTCTATACTTTACTTTTTAAGGTTGTATTCATAAATTTGTTCATTGATTAGCTCCTTTCCTCGGGAGATCCAATATGGTTCACGTTTGGATTAAGGTGACTCGATGGACGTTATATTTTGCGTCAGAGCGACATGCAAAATATATCGCATCGATTGGTTCAATTTTTTCAGCCACTCTTAATTTTTCTCGAATTTTGAGATCGCAATTCTGTTGTCAGGATACTAAAGAACTCACTAACCAATTTGACGAACAAATTCAACGTAACAAAGGCGTGGTTTTTTAGAGGAAAATTGTCACATTCGAGTGCAGTTTCGATATCAGTTCCGTATGCGATATTTTTCTTCCAAACAAACCACGCCTTTATTACGTTGAATTCGTTTGTTAAAATTGGCAGGTGAATTCTTTAGTCTCCTGACAACAGAATTGCGATCTCAAAATTCGAGAAAAATGACGAGTATCTGAAAAAATGGAGCCAATCGTCGGGAATTACCGCATGTCCTTCTGACACAAAATATGGCGTCCATCGAATTACCTTAAGATGGATTCAAGGAGATCCTTAACCTATAGCATCATGAAAAAGGACCAATTTTGCAAACCTTGAGTTAGATGCAACTCTTGAGCTGAATTCTGAAAAGGGATTACGATGATTTGCCATCGAAAAAAGTAAAAAAAAAGGGAAAGAAATAATTATACGATTTTGACGAACTTTAAGGTCGGTGCAAACCTACCTTAAAATGTGCGATAATGGAAATATTTTTATGTTGTATTGTACCATTTACAAAAGGCAAATTATCGTGATTCCCAACAGGGAAAAAAGTAATACTGATGAATTTTGCTTGACGCTTGTAAAATAAGCCTTCGCATTATGTTATTTTAAAGGCCCCCTCAAGTCTCATTTAAATAGGACGAACTGCGCTCCTCTTTGGTTGGTCTGTGAGTTTTAGGCTTTCATTGCGCTTTTAAGACTCTCATGAGGGTCTCTTTCCAAAGTTTTACGGTTAAATTTTACTCAAGCTGTCTACTAATGCTTTGTTGTGAATATCTCTAATATCTTTATTAAATTATAAATCAATTCAGGCTGCCCAAGAAAAGAAGCTGTTTGGTGAACCACTTTGAGAGCCGGTATAAGACACATAAAGATCGAACTGAGATCGAGAGGTTTGAACTTTAGACTGATTTAGTGACTACATCATTCAATACAATATGGAACTCTTGGTTCAAACCAAAACAAACTAGCATAACCTCACGTACAAATTCTTTGTGGATTAGTTGTGTTCATTTTTAAAAATTTAGTCTTTGACCGGTCATGAACACATTTTGCCAAAATCAATCGTCAAACCTAGTTTTACACCACTTCAAGATCCGTAAATTACCAAATCAATTTCCAAACAAAAAATTGTAAAGTTGAGGAATTTGGATTACACTTTGCAAAAAGGAACTAAGAGCATTCCAATGTTGCTAGGATCGTGCAACTTACATTCTTTGCAATGTAATTGCTGAAATCATGCAAAAAATTAAAATATGGGTAATTTTCGTCTTGTATGTACGGCTTTTTGTAAGTAAATATAAAACTTATTTAGGAGATCAGTTTATGTTTGCAAGGTGAAAGAAGTTGCATCATCTTAGCGACAATAGAATGATCTTGCTTCCGTTTTGCAAAATGCTATCGAATTCAAGGCGGGGCCAAGAACAGCCCTCATCCTCTGTACGGTTAAACCGCTCCTTTGCAAAATAAAACAGATCGCGCACTTCTTTTCGATAAAGCACAAAAACATATCCTGAATATACGAATAAAGAGGAGATTTAATTAAAATATGGGTAAACAAGGCTAAAAAACGATTAAAACACTAAAAGGCAGGACGTTTCGAGCTGGTACCAGCTCATTTTCTTACGTGGTTACGGTGGTTTCGTGATAACGGCTGGGGTCAGGTCGCAACTCAATTTCTTACTTGTTTTTATGTGTTTTTGCAGTTGAAAATGAGCTGGTAACAGCTCGAAACGTCCTGCCTCTTAGTGTTTTAATCGTTTTTTAGCCTTGTTTAACCATATTTTGATCAAATCTCCTCTTTATATGCACTGCTTTTCTAGAGGCTCATTTGTTTCGATGTTTGTGCAGAAATTTGGCAACGGTCAACGTATCCACTTTCACCGGTGAAACCATGTTTACACGGTGTATGTCGGCACTAAGGGTCCTCAACTCAACAATCTAATATCACCCGACGAGGCCCCCCTTCCACCTCCCCGCACCAAGGTCGGAAAATCAGATTTAGTCGAGAGAAACTCCAAGTCCGTGCAAAGGCCTTTAGCAGTGGCGTGGCGTGCTTTGCGATATATCGATTGATCTGTCATTTAAACCTATAGAAAAGGATCGATGAACAGGGTGTTTGCAGCGAACACCTTAATAATCGATTCTTTACCATAGGTTTAAATGGCATAACAATCGATATATCGCAATCCACGCCACGCCACTGGCCTTTAGCTTTTGTGCAGCGGTCTGGAACCCTGAACGGAGGCAGCTTCGGCGTGCCTTGACCGTTGTTCTCGAACACAGAGAGGGAATTAATGTAAACCTGAAGGGTGGTGTTTGGTGTTGTAAAGGTGTCGCTCAGTTTAGTCTGCGGTAATCTGTGATGAAGGTCCCGTACCGCGTTTACGCAATGCGATAAGATCTAGCACTGTCCATCGGATGGGGTGCAAAAGGAGGAATGTTGAGTGATTAAATTAAAAAGTTTTCGACGTAAGTCCGGCGTAGGTCCGCAATCACGTATCGACAGTGAAACTACCAGACCACGTATCTCGTTTGTTGAATTTGCAGAGATGGTGTTTCACGCAGACGCATGTTATAAATACCTATATTATATATTATTTGACGCATTTATTCATTTTCATAAATGGACTGCACTTTGCAATTTGGAGCTATAAATTCTGGCTCATCTGAAAGAACACTGATGTGCATAGGGAAACTAATGGCACATACGTTGTTTTTAAACCGGGCTAGAATTTATAGTTCCAAATTGCAAAATGTAGTCCAAATAATAATGAATTTGTATATGGGTAATTTTAAGGATTCAGCACAAAGCGAAAGTTTTTCAAAGATTGGAATGGTCGATTACTTGCAAATTCATTAATTTCCGAGATGTTAACGCCGAATGACGATAATAGAAGTTGTTTAAAAGTCTTTCAATTTGCATTTATTTATAAAACATGAACTTTGAATGCTTCATGTAGAAACAAGAGAGGATCTTTGTCCTCGCAGAAATGCCAGAGGGTTCATAACGGAAATTTATGGAACATTGAAAAGTTAAAATGCTAATCCCGCAAAGTTTTTAAGAGCTTTCTTCACTTTGCAATCGATTGATTATTAATTGGACATATTCATGCTGAAAGCGACTATGCACAAAGGAATCAAATGAAAGGGAATCAGGAAGCGTGCAAACTCGATGGACATAGTTTTTTTATATTTATACCATTTGTACCTGGCACTTTTTAGCATTTGAATAATTTCAAAT